CTGCAGTTCGGCGCCCCCTCCAGCAGATGGCGCTCTAGGCGACTGCCTAGTTCGCCTATGCCAAGAGCCGGCTCTGACAAAGCATTGCTGGAAATCAGAACTGTGACCAAAAGCAACAGTCAGCAGGATGTATACCTTCACAATAAGAGTGTTTATCTGGGAGGGGTGCTGTTGGATAGATCACATGTTGTGATTCATTGACAGTCATACCTTCTGCTGTTCAACATAATGATGACTGGTAGATAATTAGTTATTAGTGGTACTGCTTTTTAATTTTAGAAAGTGCAAATCCATTTATGAATTATAAAAAWTAGTAAGACCACTAAAGCTCAAATGAAATATTTAGGTCTGTAATTAGTGGATTTGCTCTTTAGTGGACTGGTGCCCACTACTGTTGGTTGCTAATGCTCAAAAAAGTGCTTCAAAAAAATTTTAGGATAATATTTCTGACAGTTAATTGAAATGAAACACATTTTTTTGTTATATTTTGACAAAATGTAATTTTTGGAAGCGTTTTAATCAAAACACTATCTGCCTATTTCTCTATTTACAACTTATAGAGATGATCCTTGTTTCATGTGATGGGTCACATATTATGATTAGATCCAGTTCAGTCTGGTGCCTCTTCTACCAAGAGCTGAAAATAAAAAMTGTGCTACTTTCTTACATCATTCTGCTAAACTTATCGACTTTATGTTTTGCATGAATTTTATTCTAAAATATATTAGCTTTTGTGTTTTACATGTTTTTAAGCCTTTGACATAATAAAACAAACTTTTAAAACTGAAAATCTTAATTTTGTTTTTCTATTCTTCACACTGATGGAGCTTTCATGGTTTGACCTGAACAGTTTCGTACAATAATGACAGATTAACGTAATTAAAAACGTGGAAAGGAACAAGGAAGAGGGAGGGAAGGTGATGGGAAGAGGAGGAGAGAAAAAGAAACAGAAAACGTTTATATAATGTAATTTTTTTCTTCTACTACCTTTCATTTTATTTTAATTCAATTCATTTTAATATATACAGCGGGTAAAATAAGTATTGAACACGTCAGCATTTTTCTCAGTAAATATATTACTAGAGGTGTATTGTTGAATTTAATGTTATATTTGGAAATGGGGGCAGCTATGTTTTTTCTTCTTCTGCTACCTTTCATTTTATTTTAATTCAATTCAATTTAATATATACA